GTGTATTCACGCAATCAAACAAGTTCAAATACAATGTCTCACATGCCAGATTACGTCTGTTATGACGAACAAGATTGCTCGATTTCTCAACCTATTATTTACTTCAGAAAATTAAGTCAACTATCTGTCGTTGTTGCTTGTGAACTTCCAAATGTCAAAATAATTAGGGGACGTTGGATTTCCCAAGTAGCATTCTTTCGACAACAAGTCACCCGACAATGTTCATTAAAAACCTATAGAAAAAAAAACTCGTTGTTCTGCACCTAATCAATTCCATTGTGGTAATAGATGTGTCTCAAAGCATAGTCTTGTCGATTATTATGCAGATTGTCTTGATGAAACAGATGAAACATACAATCAAAGCTGTGCTCTGCATCATAAGCATCGTTTGACATGCTCATCTAACATAGCGGGAACACTCATTACAAAATGCATACCCAGTACAAATATATAGAGTGGAAAGCGGGATGATTGCCGATCAAATATAGAATTACCTCATTTTCCGAGGTTATGCGATGGTTATATTGATTATAAGGAAAAGATTAACGGTGTTATGAATACAGATGAAATGAATTGTGAACGATGGCAATGTGATAATCAATATACACGCTGCGATGGAATATGGAATTGTCCCAATGGAACCGATGAGGCACGTTGCTTTCATCGTGTTTGTCGTGGAATAATTGGACATCCATGCTTGCTACGTAATACGACGGAGTTTATTTGTCTGCCTCTACAATATAGTAATGATGGAATTGTTCATTGTTACGGAGCAACGGATGAACTAAGTTTTTGTCAAAAACAGTTTGGTGAAGAAACCAGTTTTCTTTGTTTAGCAAATAATATCGATGATCATGAACTAGCTAACCAGTAAGTCAATTTTATGAACATATTTGTATAATTGACTTACATTATTCTTTTTCATTTCACACTATTAAATCAAGGGGTAATAATATTTTAGAACAAAGATCCCATGAAAACGTGAACGAATTGATTACATTCTAATATCATTAACCTATCTTTCTTGTTGAGATTAGTCAATATTCTGAAATTCATAATTATTATTTCAGTAATTCCCTATGATATATAGCGATGTATTTATTCGTTTCTAATCGCTCTCATATAGGGAAAGTCAGGATTACATGTAGTTTAAAAGTTAGCCGAAAGCAGAAATTTGCCAGCAGATAACGTAAGAAAGTTAGACAATACGTAAATTAGCTTATGAAAAGCAGAAAAGTAGTCAAAGAATAAAATAAGAGGCACTATTAAGAGAAGTATTTAGCAGTAAAGTAGTATTGTATGGAAAAATAGATATATCAATATACGTATCTTATGGCATTTTTTCAATAGATTTGGTGATAGTAATGATCTCAGTGGTATATGACATCTCTATTGTACTTTACAAAGTTAATAGGTATGCTTGTTTCTTCCAGCAATGTTCTCTAAAATGATAATTGCAATATTATGCAGTAGGATTAGACGATCAAATAGAATCAGATTAAGCAATTATTGCATGAAATATATAGCAAAATACATGTTTCAGGTTTATACCGATGATAAACTTTTATCTAATTTCGTTTTTACCGTAACTAAATCAAAATAAAAAGATTTTCAGACTAGGGCCGGCTCTTAACCTTATTTTCCTACTGGAGCCAGAACTAAAAGTGATTGGACTCTCTCATCAACAGTATCAATAGAAACATGAATTCTATTTTCATTACTGTTATGTCAGTAGAGACATCTCCTGACATAAGACGGCCATCTTTATCCCTCTATCATAGTTAGGAGATGGAACCAACCGGTGGAAGAGGAGAGAAAGAGAGAAAGAACATTCTTTGCT